TAAGAGGTTGCCCAAGGAGATGTAAAAAGTAATTTATTAAATAACTTAATGCACTTCTCTTTGTTTTTACAGATTGCACTTTATTGTATTAAAGAGATTCTATTTATCATAAAAAATTATAGTAAAATAGTAAATAAAAAATATATTACTAAAATATATATATAATTTGGTATTTAAAGACTTTTTGTCTACCTTACCTCATTATATCAAACACTGTAACTTCTAAAACACATTTTAAAAATGAGTCATCAAATGTTTGTTAAGTTATCTGCATCAAAAATACAAAAAAAGGTTATTTGTATATGTAAAGTATGCAAAGATAAAAGTGAACTCTGTGATCCCTAAATAAGAAATACTCATATTGAAAGATATGGAATTTGTAAAAAATTTGTAAGTTCTGTTGAACCTTAACCTGATATTCCTTCTTTTACTAATTCTCAAATAGAAGGCAGTAGCACATCAATTGGTATTTCTAATCCTAGTTTAATAGATGTTAGTCTTCAATAAGAAATATTTCTAATAGTTATAAAAGATAAAAGAAAAAAAAAAATTATAATTTAGAACAACCATATATTGATTTAGTTGAATAGAATTTAGTTATCTCAGATTATGATGAAGAAGTTATAGAAATAGAACCTGAAAGTGATGATGAGGATATCATATTAAACTATTCAACTCCTGATATTAAAAGCAGTGAAGAAGAAATATTTGAGGATATTGGAAATTATGATAAAAGATTTAGTTGGATATTAATTTGGATCTTGAAATACCAACAAAGATATTGGTTTTACCAGACACTGCAATAGATTCTTTACTTAAATTTATTCATTATCTATTGACTTATCTTGATCAAGATCAGTTTACAAACTTTTCTAAATTACTCTATTTGGTCTAAAAGTTAATAGAATTAGGGCTATATATAAATAATTATACAACATGTCTAGCATATAATAAATTATACAACCATAATAAAGTAATAACAAAAAAGCCTGGACAAATCCCAATATGTCTTCATTGTACCTTTGTAGAATATTCTAATCACCCAATATTTAAAATAAGACAACCTTGTAATTAACTATTGATAAAGTAAGTACCTACAAAAGATGGAATATTGTATCATTCTTTGCTTTCTTACCCAATAATAAATATTAAAAATCAACTTCAGTTATTA